AGAAATAATTATTGAGTACCTCAAAGTTTGATGCAAAAACGCATGATCGCACCGGCTCGCCTGGTGCGTTCCAGCCTGGTTTTCTCCTTTTTTCCTTCTTTCCTTTTATCCTTTTTTTTTTATTAACCGTTTCTTGAGGATCAACAGTTTCATCTGCAGTGCATGACGAACTCATTGCCGTAATTGAATCGCACTAGCTTGCTATTTTCAACCACATTCTGTATTTTATTCAAATTTGTCATGCCATTAGAATGCACAATTTCGGATTCGTTTTAACCTACATCAGGCACTGCCTTTACTTGCTTTCCGATTCGTATTTGTGACGTGCCAAGCATTCTTGACACATAGAATTACTCTTGAGCAAGTGCTCACTCGGTAAACAGGGCTTGCAGCTTTGAAAAGTGAATTGTTAGCAGCGATGTTTCTAGGAAAACCATTTTTTGGCAAGAACCAGACACGCTTTTGATAATACTAAAGTTTTAAAAATTGCAGGGAAAAAAATTTGCTGAAAAGAGAAAGCAAAGCAGTACAAATGCATAGATTATTTCTCTATGATTATCGAGGTTAAAAAGTTAAAATTTGCTCCACCTCTCTCTCTTTTCTCTCTTTCTCTGAAAGTGGAAGCATCCGGTGATAGTTCAAGTGATAACACAAAGCAGCTCTTATATCTCTATATTATTGTATTTCTTTTCAAGAATTGCTTTTTCTAATGTGCCAGTGTACCATCGAGAAATTAAAGATTTTACCGAGGGAGAAATTCCCTTTCTGGAGAAATTTTTTTTCTGAATTACTACGGCAATAGTGACTTAATGATGGGTAGCACAATTTCTTCATTACGAATTGTTTCTGAATCCTTTGAATAACACAAGCTTATCATCTTGTTGATATTGTGCTAAAACTGTAATAACACCGATTGGTACTCGTGTTATCTCTACAGACCTGATTTATCTAAGTGTCGGCAGGAAAATAAAAAGTTGTGTGTAGCGGTACTTCAGCAAACTTTTGTTTTTGCATTGTTCTGAGTAATTTTAAGCACTTTTGACGGAACAATTTGCTAGTTTATTCACGTGTGAAAGGACGGTGAAAGTAATTCTGGATGCAAATGAAGCAGCTAATTAAACAAACTTTTCATTATCTTTCGAACAAAATTTGTGGATTTGTTTTCTGGAAGCACGCAGCTCAGGATAGAAGGGCCTAACATAGCTGCGCCCGACGTTTGGGAGTGTCTTAGCAGCGTTGCTAATAGAGGACATCCGCACGATAGCTCGAGCTGTCTTGGTGTTTTTTTGTTTTCAAAGTGGATTCAGTACCTTCAAATTAAACAAATTTTTTTTCTACATCTTTTTTCAGCTGTTTCGTTCGTAGAATAAACATTTGTTACTTTTTACAACTGCTGCAGAACATCGAAAAAAGTATTAACCTGCGAGAGGCCAAGGTGGATCGAAGCGGTCTCGGAGATATATATCATCTTACCAGTGGCATCCAAAATTACTATAAAACCTTCAAGTGTCTGTAGCAGAAACGATCCGATCTCGAATTTTCCGTCCTGCACGTAACTCATTGGCTGCTGTAATACGTTCCGCAATGCCAAATATGCGGATGCCAGACGTATAATCGATGCCTCCAATACCA